TGAAACCACAGGGTCTACAACAAAGCCTACATCAAAATCTCCAAACTCCACCCTAAACCCTTAAACCCTAAACCCAAAATCCCCAAACTCCACTCTAAACCTGAAACCCCTAAACCCCAAATGGAAAGCGCTTGAAGCGGAGATTACGAGAAGGATCCGCACGGAGGAAATGCTCGAAGCGGAGATGACGAGAAGGATTCTGGCGGAGAGAGCGCTCTTTCGGAGCATGGGGCAGCTGGAGGAGGCTGCAAGGGTTGCGGCCCATCTAAAGCGCCGCTGCAAGACATTGCAGGGTGCCCGCCGCTCGCTCGCCAGATTTGCGTCGGACCAATCCTCAACCCTGGCCATACTCGAGGAGTATGCGCAGGCTCAACGGGGCCGATAAGGATATTGATGTGATGAGCATCGATGCTGCATGCTTGGTCGCCTTCGTGCTTCACTATGCACTACACAGCAGGTTCTGCCGCCATACTAGGCCTCCTTCTACTCGCTATCTAGTGTTTGTGTAGGCCCACCTGTTTGTAAGTATACCTCGGCAGTCAAAGTCTTGTCGTCAGGTGTCTGGTATGATACGTGGCCTTAACTTCTGTTGTATGTGTTTTCGGAACAACTGGACACCGCACTGAGTTCGACCTTGTTTCAAGAGAATGTCCAGTCGCTAGTGCACTATGTACAAGCGACACCATTCCTGGATGCAGTCTGCTGATTGGCTCGAGGCCTGTCCTGAGTGGCCTTAACTTCGGTGTTGTCTGCTGTTTTTGCAAGGCCTTGAGCTGTCAGCTGTAGTACCGACCCGCACCGAGAGACCTCGTCTGGCAAGTCCGAGTTGCGAGAGCGTAAATCCCCAAACTCCACACTTCGAGTTCCCAGTTCTTACTGGTAGCAGCCGGGTAGGACGTAGGTTGCCTTTTCCAGCTTTATGGCTTAGGGTTTAGGGTTAAGGATTTAGGGTTTAGGGTGCTTCTATCTCTAATCCGAATTTCACGCTTACCCTTTTTCTTGGGCCATGGAACTCAGCGATTCCAAATTCAATTAAACACCCTGTAAAGCAAAAGCCCGAAAGGCCTGTGGAAACTTTAAACTTCACAAGTATAGCAACCTTTATAAAGCATCGAAACAAAGCCCCAAAAGCGCCCAGTGTGTGCTTTGAACACCCTTGTAAGAAGGTCCCTCAATGAGACACCGTAAAATCCCAGAAACCTTAGCCCCCAAACCCGTTGTGCGAGCGTGCGAGTCGAAACTCTAAAGAGTCTCCACAGTGTGCTTTTGAGGTCGGTGGTGGTCGACGGTCGTGGTCTGTCGACTTCCTCCTGGGGTTCCACCGTCATCCTGGCAGGCAGAGGATTAAGGGGTTAGATTTGCCGGTTGAAGGTTTGGGGTGCCAGAATTCAGGCTTTCATGGTTTCTGGTGTTTGCCTGAGGCTTGTCTTCGTTTTCTTTGGTAAGCTGGTGGAGCTCAGCATGGCCTGAAAGTGTTGCTTATGAAGGCGATTTTTCCGCCAGGCTGTTTCTCTTGGGTATTACCGGATTCTGGTTAAGAAACCTACTGACCCACGGCCAGCTTCCAAAAACAATTCACAGTCTTACTGAACTTGATCTCCAGGACTTGAAAAGCATGAGCACGTGAGCTCGCGGTTGAGAGCTTCGTAGACCACCAAAATTTTGCAGAAATCGTAAACCTTTACGATCGCTGCTGGCTGTGCCGGATACCTTGGGCTGGTTGCGGGGGAGACATGGCCTGGGGTACTCCGCCCCGAAGCCACCAGCGAAGCCCAACATGCACAAAACAGAAGAAGCAAGAAGCGAACCCATCGAAGGCACGCTTTAACCAGACCTTGAGCCCTGTGACCGAAACCTCACCTTGTACCCCCTAAACCCCTAAACCATCCTAAACCCCAAACCCGAACACCCCAAACCCTCAGGCCCTATAAACCCCTTGGGTACTCGGCTTTGGGCTTGAGCGAATGGTGCGAATGTCGGGTCTTACATGAGAGCTGCAAGAGGTGTTGTGTCCAAGGTGAGATGTTGCATAACATCGTCACTGTGATTCGATCGGGCTGCCACTGCAGAGCACTGGCTTTTCTGCACACCCACTGTCGGAAGTACTGCTGCTGAAGTACAGTCACTGACTATGGGCTCATGTTAGTGACGGGAGCATAAACACTGTTCTGGTTGCTGCTGTGACAAATTGGCTGCAGACGAAGTGCAGATGCATCTGCTGTACAACTGTTCAACCGAGACACCCTGCAATGCGGACTTCGTCCTTGCTAGGTAGGAGGGTAAAAATAAACCCCTTAACCCTAAACATCCCTAAACCCTAAGCTAAGTCGAAAGAGAGCCGAAGGTCCCGGCACGGGCTTCCACCTGGCCTTCGGCAACACGAGCTTTTGCTCGGGGTCCGGCTCTCTGATCTTCGTCTTCTGCGTAGTCGTAGTAGTAGTAGTAGTAGTAGTAGTAGTAGTAGTAGTAGTAGTAGTAGTAGTAGTAGTAGTAGTAGTAGTAGTAGTAGTAGTACTCTTCGTCGTCGTCGTTTTATTGTTGTTATGATTATTAGTAGTAGTGGTAGTGGTAGTGGTAGTGGTAGTCGTAGTAGTAGTAGTAGTAGTAGTAGTAGTAGTAGTAGTAGTAGTAGTAGTAGTAGTAGTAGTAGTGGTAGTACTGGTAGTACTGGTAGTACTGGTAGTACTGGTAGTACTGGTAGTACTGGTAGTACTGGTAGTACTGGTACTAGAAATAGTAGCCGGGTGGTGAATGAGTTCAGAAGCGAGCCTTCCCAAAGGCGCTTACAACCATACAGAGGCATTGCGAGTACCAGTAGTGTAGGGTAGGGGCCTTAATGATTAGAATAGGGTTTTGGGGGTATATTATACTAAAATTTTAACAAAGAACCCTGAAAACCCTGTTCCAATCATTAAGGCCCCTACATTGCCGCATGGCGGTGGTGCTGGTGCTGCTGATGGTGGTAGTGGTGGTGGCACGAGTAGACTCCCAACACCACTCTTTGTACTACTCTGCCATACACCAACATTGCGCGCGACCCTGCCAACCTCGATGCAGCCGGAGGCAGGGGCCCCCCTCTTCACCCGACATTAGTGTAGTTTCTTTGCGAAAAAGCTTGTTGGACCACCACCGTGAGCTCGGGAAGGAGAAGAGCTAGAAGCCTAGCCTCGACCCTAACTGTCTGGCCCCCGAATTCTTTGGCCCTTATCATAAGAAATCCTGGCACCCGCCTGTTTTCTGAAAAGCACTGCCATGTCCCCCTTGACACCATAAAACCCAAACCTGGCGTTTTGATGAGGCTATACAGGAGCTCTAGCGCGGCATTATCAAATCGAGCCCTTACATGTGTATAGCTGTTATTGTTGCTGTGCTGATTTACTGGTGGGTTCTCAATTATTGATAGATCAATTTTCCAGACTACTATGCATTATTGCATGGACTTGTCCGAGTGTAAGTGTCAAAACGGAATAGTTGTTCACCCCTAAATGAAGGGTTAGTGTCCCCTAGCTTCCTGAGGCGCCATGCTTGGACGATTTCGTGGAGGCGCTGCTATCGGATGAGTATGCTGTAAGGTCTGAAGAGAGTTTAAGCTTTAGGATGTAGGGTTTAGTGTTAAGGAGTCGGGCCCTTAAGGTCTATAAAGGGTTTAAGTTTAAGGTTTAGGATTGATTCGTGCAGCTCGGAGCGAGTCAGCTGTCCTGGCGTGACGTTGCAAGCCAGTTGCAGAAGGATTTGCTGTTTAGGGTTTAAGATTCGGGCTCTAGACCCGAACCGCCGTTCTCCACACCCCCCTCTCCCCATCAAACGGGTGTTTGTCAGCAAGATTAAAAAAACTCTCAACAAGTATTAAACGCATGGTTTCAGCCTCTCAGGGTGGTGTTTGGGAGACTATTTGTCGCCAACCGGACGAAGCGATTCAGGTATACAAAGCTTTCTGACACTTCTTTTGTGTGTCCACCAAGCGAACAGTATCATGTCCTTGAAGCTGGGTACCCTTATAAAGCCTAAGCCTTTACACAGAAGTATGATGACTACCCGTACTGAAAGGCCCTCGGCCCTCCGCGCCCTGCACCTCCAATCCTCTTGAACCCCCTAAACACGGTATGGGCCAAAAGGTCTCGAATGCCACAGGCCCCGCCCGAAATCCTTCAACTTGATATCGCGAAGCAAAAAGTTTGGGGCTGCCTGTAGGATTTAGTGGATTGGGTGTTTTAGAGGTTGCAGGGTTGAAGCATGATCGTGTCCATCAGGATTTGTTTGAGGTCTGGGGCTGTAGTTTTATGTAACGTCTACATCGTAAGGTTTAAGATGTCCTCAGAAATCCGGGTTCAGGGCATTGGGCGCAAGCTCGAATTGCAAGCACTGCATGTCCTTACAATATCCTGTGGTTTCAGTCCAGTAAGTTCGTCGGCATACTTTTTTCTATTCCGCCGATTCGGCGTAGAATTTCCTTGCGTCGCAAAAAAAGTAAACAGCGGAACACCCTTGAATAAACCATGGCGCCGGAAAAAGTATGCCGAGATAGACCCTTGGGAATCTCCGATGTTACATGATGCAATCCAAACATGATGTTTGCTTAGAGATCTGAGTCTGCCCCATTTGAGACATTGATTGATGGAATCCTTGCGTAAGGCCTGGGCAAAGGCTGTAGAGTCGTTGCTTACAGATCTGGGAGAGGCTATTGAATCGTTGCTTAAATGTCTGGGAAAAGGCTGTTGGGTCGTTCTTTAAAGGCCTGGGAAGAAGCTACACTGTCTGGTTGGGAAAGGGCTATTGAGCCGTTGCTTCAAGTCTGGGAAAAGCTGTTGAGTATTTCTTCAAAGGCCTGGGATGAATCTACGGAGTCTTGTCAGTCTAGCTGGGAAAAAGCTATTGAGTCGTTGCCACACAAGGTCTACAAAAAGCCTGCCTTAAACGTTTGGGAAAGGTTGTTGAGCCCTTGCAAGCAGAAATCCCTCGAACGATCCGGTCGGAATTTTCATGCACATGCACTCCAGACTTCAAGAGGTTCGGCGATACTCGGGAGTGATTCGCTCGCCTGCATAGAGCAAATAACGCTGCAAACACCGCAGCGAGACATACTGGGCACCTGCACGTCTTGAAGCTCTTGCATGCACCCCCACGAAGTCTTCATCCATCTGTACCGTGAAGGCGATACAGTTCAATGTCCAGGCGGAAGCCCGAGCTTGGGACTTCAGGTCGATGAACAAGTGATGGATGTAATGAACCTTCGGAGTGATTGGAAACCGATCGCGGTTCGCTTGGAAAGTCAAATGAACCAGGTGGCCGTAGCACTTCAAAAAGTTCATGCCTGTAGATGAAGCATCCAGCGCCTGATGCTGTGTCATCCACAGCCCACTCTTGTATAGCAAACGGATACAGGCATTCAGGTTGGCTACCGCAGTATACGTCCAACCCAAAATGGCATCCTCGGAGGCCATTGAAGCATGCTTCTCACAGAAGTCTTCGAAAATCTCCAGAAGCAATGTTGTATCGCTTGCTTTTTGCCAAGCTCCTTGAGGGCATTTCTGGTAAGAGTCGAAACCAACGCTCAGCTCGCTCACATGCCGACAGTATAGTTTCTGACCATGTCGCTGCAGGTAAGCCTGCGCGTGCTCATCCAGATATGCAAACCTCTCCTGGACGTTGTTTCCTGAGTGTTGTTTGTTGTACCCTATCGCACTGAAACGACCCAAACTTGTTTTCCAGGAAACGTACTAACAAACGACTACCCTTGGAAAACTCTTAAGGGTCTTATCGAACAAAGAAAACACCCAAATAGACTAATTTTATGTTCTGGGGAACCTGAATAAAACCAGCATAAACACATAGAGAATTAAAAACTATTCCAGAATCCATGGCTTTGAAGGCAGGAGGCCTGGCAGAAAAGGGAGCCATTCCACCAGAGCAGAGGCGAGAAACACCTTTCCACACCCTAAGTGCAGGCAGTGCCAGAGGTCTGGCTTCAGGAACCCCCCAGCATTTCCAGGATCGTGGAATAATCGAAAGATCAAATCCGGAGGGCTCTCCCAGGGGGGCTCAATCCCAACAGACCGCAACCAAGCAGGATTGTCACTGAAGTCTTCATAGTCCCAGCCAGGTTTGCCAGCAAGGCAAAGGTGGCAGAGCCCATTTTTTGCTTGCTGTCCACTGCGCTTGCTCACGTGGGTATAGGACCGAGTGAGGCTTGCGACCTTCGCAAAAAACTGTAGATCTCCAACACTTCCAATAAATGCACAATGCCACGTCTCGACACCAGACTTCGACTTGATCTGGATCCCGGTTGTTGAAAGCTTGCATAGATCCTCGACCAGTGCTTCGAACATCCGCATCAAGTATGAGCAGTCGGTGCCATATGATTTCTTTGACAGTACAAATGATAGAAAGCGTGTCTCCATCGAGTGGCCCTTGATGTTTACAGGCATAGCCTGTTCCTGCATTCTGGGTGCATCTTTGTGAAACTCATGGAAGGCCTTGCATCCTGCACCGATCAGGCCATGGGTGTTGACTACCATGACTGGAAGTCTTTTCCTTCCACGGCCTTCATCCCCATGAATGACCATTGGTATTGTTCGATCGGGGTGCATTGTACCAGCAGCGAAGGCAGCATGAACAGTATTGTTTGGCTCCACCTCCTGAAAACGACTCCAGAATTCAGGTAAAACACTTGCTGGCTGTTGGCCGAAAAGGAGGTCCAATTTGCCCAGGTCCGCAAGGTGTTGAAACAAATCGCTGGGTCTAATCATTGGCAGGTCACAGTTGCTGTCCCCCACGTTGACATAGGAGATCGGAACATCCAGTGCCAGGCCAAACTCTTTAAACCTGAGTGCTCGGAAAAGGCTGGCACAAAGGTTTAAAGTGTTCTTACAAGGCAGGAAGAGGCTTCATCTCATACGGCTTGTGACACCCATAATACACACTTTAGACACATGCACATGTATCTATAGAATCTAGACTAGCACACATGCATGTATACACCTTACACAACCCCAGTCTCGACTTACTAGTAACTTACCCGAAAAACCATAAAGACAACTCGAAACGAAACACGTTAGGAGAACCCGGCATCCCTTAACTTCCCTGGGCAGCAGTAGAGTGCTTAAGAGGGAGTCCGCTGTAAGGGTTTCTAGAGGGGTTCCGACAAGGGATCCTTAAGGGCTCGATCCTTTAAGGGGTCTACATCGGTTTTAGGTTTATGGGGTACTGCAGGGCTTAAGGGATCTAGGGATGTTAAGGGTCGTAACCTTTTGACCTGACGTTTTGGTTTTGGGGTTGTGGTTTTGGGTCTAATAGGTTTCGGGTTGGGGTTTAGGATTTGGGTAAGGGTTTTACATGGTCTATTTTGGCCTCTCCGGAACGTGGCTGAAGAGCCGACCTAGAACTTCTATAATCTCGATCTATGTGTACATATATATATATACATGTGTTTATCGACTATTGAATCTATATATAAATATATAGACTATATATAGATACAGGGCTATAGGGTTTGTATAGGGTGCTTCAATTGTGTTAGTATTATCTGAGCAGGGTTAAAAGGGGTTGTGTGGGATCCTGGTGCGGACTTCATCAAGAGCAAGCTCCAGCTGATGATCTGATGATGTGGATGCAGCTTAGTCGCAGCTCATGCCCTGTATCTTCTAGCCGATTTTCTGAAGCTTTCGCTAGCCCATCAAGCAGGGAGTCACCGGAGCGTCGGGGATCAGCAGTTGCAGCCCGCACGAAGCCAGAGATAGTAGTCCCAGTGGCCTCAGCAGCGGATGTGAGATTGGCATTTGTTAAGCAAACCTATAGTCGATGGCAGTGCTTTGCTCATGCATGCTTGCGACTGACATCAACGATTCTGCAATCGATCTTTTTCACACTCGGAGATCTCGACTAGAGCACATGTTTGATTGCAATGTACACGAAGTAGGCTGAAGGAAAGTGGTCTGGCCCCTCGCCACCAGGGTTATCATTATGGCAACCTTGTCGCCGTCTGTACAACCGAATTAAATGAGCCTCCAAACACTTGCACATCGTGCTGTCTGCTGACATGTACAACAGATGCATCCGATGATATCCTTCGTCGCAGTAGCCTTCCACCCGCCGAACAGGATCATGGGTAAAGCCCACTTTGAAAACTGCACAACCAACAGACTGCAGAACCTCAGCAGATCAAGTCCAAATCGTTTTCGACACAATTGTCGGCACGGGAGCAGTATTAACCATAACTGCCGAAAGCCGAGGCACTATCTCGACCATCGCTTCAGCATGGGCAAAGATCTTGCCAGGTGTCTTGCCAACAGATTTAACATCAGGCAAAGTAATCTTCAGCAGATCTCTCTTTTGCAAGATTCCATCCCAAGTCTCTGCAATGTCTGGTAGGCTGAGAAGCTCTGCAGACATGTACTTGTGATATCTCCAATGAACCGAAGATTTGTCATCACTGGTGCCTTATGTTGATCAGGGTGCCCCTTCCTCAATGCAGCCATCCCCAAGCGTCTATATAATTGAGTCCAGTTGCTCATCACGGTCTTGCTCCCAGGCTCGATCGCTGTCTTCCTTGAGGCAGGGCAGTGTGCGCACAGGAATGGGTTATGATTTATATTTGTTCGATGGCATAAATTCGAAGCCAGGTGTCTGTCGTTTTGGAAACACTAGGAGCTCATCGAACCACTCATCCATGGCGGCGGCTACGACATTGACCGAATCAATCTATAGTTTTTCAATAGTAATTCGGGTGACAATAACCATATCAAGTATACTTAGGTTTTCTAAACCTGTATACTACATATATTTATACACACATGTACATATAGACGAATTGGACTAATTTATACCCAAAGGAATGTCTAAGCCTTGGTTTGCGAGGTCTACAGAGCTGATTGGGGCTTCGGGATTTCTAGGGCTTCGAGGTTTCTATATATATATATATACATGTATATGCATATATATATATATATATAGACATATGTAACCTTTACCTAGGTTGGTTGTTCTACATAAGCGATATACCTCACTGGGTCCAAAGCCCGGGGTTGTGGTTTGCGTAGGTTCAGGGATTGTTGCTTCTGGCGGCTTTCGATTCTGGTATGCTTGTCTCACTTAACTAAACAACTGCACGAACCTGAGACAGATCGGTAGATATTGCTCGAAAACCAACATGAGCTCGCAACTCAAGCAAAACAGAGCAGCATGGCTCCAAGGCAAAGGCCCCTCGAACCAACTGCTTGGCAGCTTCTTTGCCGAGTGTGCCAGCCTGACCTGGCATGGATATATCAGGGAAAGCACAGCACACATATGTATGAGGTTTCTCAGCACTCACATACAGGCAGAAAGACTGCATTCATTGTGTTTTCATCTCGCGCGACGTCACCATCATCCCAAAGCTCTCAGTGTGGTCAGTACTACACCGATCAAAGCATATCAGGCTCACAAAAGCAGGGCTTTGTGCTGCAGTGCGAAAGATGCAAGCACCAGCCGTGTAGCAGCAGACCAGTGGAGCAACACATTGGTGAATAACGTAACATCAGTATCTGTAGATAGTGTTGTACACATAACGTACTGGCTCTGGCCTGCAAAGAGCCATGCATACGGTTCAAAACTAGTTGGCCTTCGCCTTTGCTTTGGACTTTCCTTTAGCTTTGGCTTTGGGCTTATTATTGACAGCAGAAGCCGGTGGGGCCCCGGAGTGTCCCTCATTTCCCGGTTTCTCCTTGTCCTTGAGCGCCTTCTGCAGCTCTGTCAGAACTGGCGTCACCTTGTTCTCGATTGAGACCGCCTGGACGGCCCTGGGATGAAAGAGGTGGGTTGGCCAGGTAGGACTACAAGGGATTTTAGGGATCTAAACGGTATCAGGTTTATTTAATTAATTTAGATCGGGTTCTGGGTTCATAGGGAGTCGATCAGGGCTTGGGTTTCGAAAGACTTAACATGGCTCGAACGGTCTATCATTTTTTAAAGTTTATGTTTCGGCACTGAATAGAGTTCTGCATGAAACTTAAAAATACCAATCAGGTTTAGGATTTTAGGGGGCCCACGAAGAATTCCAGGCCAGATCAAGAAGCCCTGTATAGTTTACACAACCTACTCCAACAAAAACTCAAAGGCCCTAAGCCCCTCGATCATCATAAACCATATAATATTGCCCCAAACCCGGTAACCTTCAAGCCCACATCTTTTAATCCTGATAAAGGCCTGGTCGGGATTACACGTCTATAATGAATATGATTAATTTAATATGATGATAAGTAAGGCCTCTAGTGATCGAACTGTATCCCCAGGAGTGATTTGCAACCCAGTCACAGGACAGAAGCCGTCTCGATAGACATGTCAATCTCGGTATGCAGCCTCGATTCGTTTTGAAAAGACTGGGTGGTTAGATGCAGGAAACACAGAGAGTGCATCTACATATTGCCACACCAGGAAGCTTGGGGGTCATGCGTAGGGAGGCAGTTGCTTTGATCATACTCATATTGTCATAGTGGCGCTCCAATGCTGCAGCATGAGATTGCAGCTCACCCGCCAGCCTCAGGGTGGAGCCATGCATGCAGCTTATTGGTTGCTCTGAGCCTGAGCCTGAGAGCCTAAATATTTTACAAACCCTAACCCCAGCAATAACTTATATAGCTCCTGTATACTATATCCCTCCCGAAACCCTACACAAGCCCACCCTTGATAGCCTCTCGTGCAGATCATTGGGAGTTGGATTTTTGGGCTTCAGCAGCTGGTCGGCCAGATCACGGTGTCTCAACACCTTCGATAAAACTTCAGCCAAGCCCCGATCGAGCATCGTACGGGGATCCTGGGCATTCGGAGTTGATTGGCAATGGGGTTTACAGGGCCTTCTGTTTTGCATGATAATTGGCACAGCTTCACTAGGGGATTATCTCCAAACCCTATAGCCAAGTAACTTCCGCCCCGGCCAAACCACCCTCCTCAGCAGCTGGTCCCGGGGGCTGATCATCGAAGGTTGTCTCCACCACTGGGAGGGTACCATCAGCCTGCAGGGTTCAGCCAAATTTGCAGGGTCATAGGGCTTGAAGAGGAAACTAGAGTGGATGTGTGGTGTTCTGGCTTGCAAGGCTTATAGGGGTTTATGGGTTCGGAGGTTTTGGGTTTATAGGGGTTTAGGACTTTTTTGGGGATGTAGGCAATATATATATATATATATATACTAGCACGGGTCTAAAGGATTGTATTAGGAATTCTCAGGCTCCTTGGTTGTAACCACGGGTTTCTAGGAAAAGGTTTCGGGGGTTCCAATCGATGAGGCTTTGTGCCTATAAGACCCATGCATGATTGTAGTTGAAGCACCTCCTCGGTACGCTCATTCGTGGTGCGATCGATATTCTTCTTCGTGATCTCTCCAGACCAATGCGTCTCAACCCAATACTGATTCAAACTCGTGTCATACTTCCATGGCCTCAGAAAGAAAAATGTTCTCAGGTCTTTGATTAGAAACATGCATCATTGCAAGGCAAGTGTAGAGCACACAGAAACCGTAGGTGCCAAGAGTCCGTACCAGCTTCGTTGGGTTGAGGCCACAGTAGTCCACGATCTTCTTGATCATCTTCCTCAGTTGGCATTGAAGTGGCATGGCACATATAGCAATTGCAGGGTTTATTGTGCGAGAACTCACATGCACCATCAAGTTTCGCATCGTAGCCCAGCTCATCCTTCATGGCTGCAGCCGTATACCATCCAGCCTGAACCTTGAGGCTCTTCTCATTCTCGACGATGGTCATCTTCGTGACCATGGAGGCGAAGGCTTTCTGTTAGGGTGGGCAGAAGACTTAAGTAATTCACTTCACGGGTATTGAAAGACAGTACTGTAAGGGTCCTGCTCGAAGCCAGAGTTCACTAGCGCATGTGCCAACTCCTTGCGATTGTTCACATCCTGGTACTTTTTGAAAGCATCTTCTCCCCCTGGCACTTTGCCAGATTTGCGTCGTTTGCACATGCGACGGAGCCGTTGAAGAACAGCAGCATCTGTCAATACCTCATTTAATTGCAAAAGCAGCTAGAAACACAGACCACACAGTGAAAGTATGAATGATTTGTCCTATCTATGCATTAAACAGCTAGGGCGGCTAGGGAGCCTTTCCAGTCTTCGGGCAAAGAACCACCCCAAGACCAAGGCCTTCCTCGTCCATCTCTCCATCACCCCCATTCTCCGAGTCTGAGTCACCCTCCGCCTGCGTTCCCTGATTGCTGCGAGCATCGGATGCTCGGGATGCTGGGGCTGGGCGAAGGCTTGCAGACCCGGATCGGGAAGGTGGGGCTGAAGGGCCCTCGGAACCTAATCGAACACCTGGCTCGGCTGGCTTCGGGGTTGCTGGGGAACTCAAGAGCTGCAACTTCCTGTGAATCTCAGCTTGCTTGGCTGCCAGCAAGTCGGCTTCTTTCTGAAGCAGCACTGCTTCATCTGCCTGAGTTGCTCTAGATCGATCATGGAGCCAGATTGAAAATGTATTGAGAATCCATGAAGAAACAAACTCATGCGACCTGGTTGCAGGCTCTGAGCGTGCAAAACTCGGAGGCCTGCTGTGATTTCGAGCCTTCTTCTCCCTTTTCAGATTTGAAAGCACCATGGATTCGGAAGGGGTCTGGGGAGCCTGCTGGCTAGCCGGGATTGTAGCCGGGGTTGGAGGAAGACTTCGAGAACGCTCAGAAGTGGGCGTCAGGGGCACTGGGGATGCCATTACCAGGGTAGGCTGCGTTTGGCCCTCAAATGCATCAGCCAGGTTCTTGGCCACACCATCCATTCCAGGCACCTTAGATAGCTTTAAACTATTGTAGAAAATCAGGCCCTATAGAGCTGTAGTTAATTCAAGAGATCATGCAAGTCTTCACAGGGCACATAATTAACACTCTGGGCGGGAGGCTGGTTCACCTTTCACCCTCTTCGTAGGTGGAGAAACACCCGGGGATGCATTCTTCTGTGCATCGACATCTGCGATTTTGGCTCGCAACTCCTGCAATTGATGTTTGGTTTCCTCTGGAGAATATGTGAAAAGACTGACATAACTAATTCCCCTGTGACAGTGCAATCCCACCTGAACACGTTTTCGCATCACCTCCTCCATTTGTGCGTCTTCCTGCATCAGTCCTTCGTATCCCTGCTGCAGGTCAGAGCACGACCAAAGCTTGGAGCCCAACATGGCTCTATGTGCACGATAAACTTAGGTTGCTTACAGGGTTATAGGTTTAAAGGGCTAGGTAAAGACTGAGGCCACAACAGGTTACGGTGCTCGATCCATATTAGCCTTATAAACCCTGTATAACTCCGATATTTAATGAAACGCCCCAACGACACCCACCTTGGAAACCTTTAACCCTATACAGTAGAAGCCAGAAAGTTGGAATATCATTGTCGTAACCCCGTTAAGGTAAATTATAGGGGATCCTACCATTAATCCATATTCCAACTTTCTGGCTTTTACCCTATATATATATACATAAAAGGATCTATATAGAGGTCACAAGGGATATACGGGTTTTTGGGTGCATTGTTTATATATATATATATATATACATATATACATATACATATAGGACTA